TTTTACCTTTTGATATATATATATATATATATATATATATATATATATATATATATATATATATATATATATATATATATATATATATATATATATATATATGTGTGTGTGTGTGTGTGTGTGTGTGTGTGTGTGTGTGTGTGTGTGTGTGTGTGTGTGTGTTTGATCAACATTAAAAAAATTAAATTAAATTAAAGATAAATCACAATCTACTTGAATTTTTTGAATATTTTTATTTTAAATTATATTATTTTCATAATAAAGGCAAACTGGTTAGACATATTGTATTTATAATATATTTGTATATTAAAATGATCTTGTGGTAATATTTTTTGAGATTGATATTGATCGTACCTGATCAGAAAGGAGTCAGTAGGCTGTCACGCGTCGTGAGTTGCTGCCTTCACCGGAGTTGTGGAGGATAAAAAGGGGGAGTACCTGCAAGATGCTCCGATGTTTAAGTGAGTAACAGAACTAGAGAGAGCAAGTACAGAGAGAAGGTCTAATGAATGGAATACTTGACCGTATAGTGAAAGAAGGTATTTATAATTTGCCCCCAGTGTAGGGCAAACGGTTACATTGCAGTGGGTCAGATTGGCAAGCCCAACACAAGTAACTATCAGAACTTACGTGGCGTAGTAAAGACCAGCATGTGGTATTCGCTCTGAATCAACTGTCCCGTAATTTTCGAAAGGTGACTTGACCAACTCTTTCGGAAGTGGGTAGTTGTCTAATGACGTGTCCCCGCGTGAGGGGGACGTGGAGTCCGTGGGAAAAGCGCGTGAGCTCTCCCTGTGTCAGAGAATGCTCCACCCGACTAGTATACTCCTTTGTTGGGGCTTGTGCTCGACAAAGAGGATTGGGTCTTGTTGGGCCTCATTAGCATAACATTGGGTTGAACCTGCCCGTCTGAGGGGCAGGTCCCGACCCAGTCCAGAACAGATATCACGTAAAATGGGGTGTGTGGATGATCATTATCCCTATTCCTAAACTGCATTCAAAAATATTTTTTCATTTGTTTTGATCCTTAAAAGCATGTTTGAATAAGGTAATTGAAATATTTTAAAATTTTAAAATTTAAAATAATTTAAATGATTTAATTAAAATTCATTTTTTTTTGAATTTTTTTTTGTTTAGATTGAGTATTAAAATGATTTATTGTTAAATTTTTTAGGCTCATTTTTATAAATTAAAAAAAATTAGGCCAAATTTAAAATATAAAAAATATGGATTAATTTACAATTTTTAAAAATTTGAAGGGACCAATTTATAAAATTTAAAAATTATTAGAAATTTATTTGCAAATTTTTAGATAATTATAAGAGTGAATTTGAAATTTTTATAAAATATTAGGACCATTTTGTAAATTTTGAAAAATTAATAATAAACAATTTAACATTCACATTATATAGAGTGAAGAAGCAATTGCAAATTCCTTGTTTTTTGATGTCTTTTGAAGTCTCTTAAACTTAACTTGAATAAAATACTTCATAAATTTATATTATTTTAACAATCTTTCATATTTTTTATCCAAATAGTAGATTTTGACCAAATTATTTTAAGTTCTCCCAAAAAAATATTTTTTCTTATTAAAACATTTCACTCACAAACACTCTAAGAAAAAAAATTATCCTCATACAAATCCTAAATGATATGATCTCTCATAGTAGAAAAATGACAACCTTTTATTACTTGAATATTTAAATGTAAACAGGTAACTTATTTATCAAAAAAATTTATTTGATTGCAATATAGTTTTAGCATTTTATCTTTTGCGTAAATGATATTTGTTTTAATTCTTTGTCTTTTTAAATTTTTATTTTTATTTTTACTTATTCAAAATATGTATCGACTAGTATATATGAGTAGGTATCGACTAGTATATAAACATAAAGTCAAGAAACAAATGATTTTCTCATAACAATAAGAATTCAACCCAAAGTACATTGCTAAGTTTATACTTTTTTATTTTAGTTTAAGATGTACTTGTTGGGTCATTTCAGATGGTCAACATGAGGGAGTTTTTTCTTTTTTACGTTGAGACTTTTCTTTTAAGAGCAACACACTTTACTTACGCAAAATTTTAAGGTGATAGGTGTGTAAGTTTTCTCATTTACAAATACTCAAATCTCCACATTTCTAACTAATGTGAATATTCTTCAATATTTATATTTTTAACCAACCTCAACCCAACAATCTCCACATTGATTAAAAACAATATATAAGTTTTTATTGTCTTCAGCGACAATCACACTCCACCATAAAGAGCATCAACATGTATATTTTCAACCAATCCCAACAATCTCCACCTTGATTGAAAATAATACATAAACTTTCATCGTTTTCACCGACAATCATACTCCACTATAAAGAGTATAGTCACTTGAAGTTACACCACTCCAAAAAATTTCACATTGTCTTCACCGACAATCACAGTTTAAAAATTATCATACTCCACCTATAAATATGAGTTTACTCCACTTGAAATTAAACCACTTCAAAAAATTTCACATTATCTTCGCCAACAATCATAGTTTTAAAAAAACTACCATACTCTCTCATGAAAAATATATTTCACTTGAAGATAAACCATTTAAAGAATTTTATGTTGTCATCACCGACAATCATATACTTTATCATGAAGAATAAATCAGACTCTAATACCATTGTTGTGTTATTTCGTAGGATCAACATGAGAGAGCATTTTTACTTTGAAACTTTTCTTTTAAGAGTAACATAACTTTGTGAGAGACAAACCACATATTTTCTTCAACATATATATTTTTAACAAACTCCAACCGTACTCACGGAATATATCAAAAAGCTAAGATCAAGATATCTATTTTTTAATATATTATATATTTCTATTTAAAGAGTTGAAAAAGAATGTAAATGAGATATTAAAGAATAGAGACGAACTTTAAAAGCACATGTCTTTCTCTTAGGAAGAAACAAAGACCGAACATAGGGAATGTAATTTTAATAAAAAGGAGAAGAGTTTCTAATTTGGAGGTGAAAGTTAAAAATCATATTAAACGACAAGTTACACGATTTAAATACCTTAGGTCTATGGTACAAAATGATAAAGAAATAGAATGAGAAGTAAACCATTAAATCTAACTAAGTGGTTGAAATGGAAGAGAACTTTAGAAGTTTTATGCGACACAAGTATTATAAATTGAAAAGTTTTTTTTATCAAACAATAATAAACATATGTGATATTGTACGAAATAAAATTTTGAACGATTAATAATTAATACAAGAATAAAATAAATATAACAAAGATGAGAATATTACATTAAACATGTGATAAAATTAGACGAGATAAAATTAAAAATATCAATATTATAAAAAACGTTGAGATAACTTATAAGAATTTTTATAAAAAATAGGATTAAGTGATTTAAACATTTAAAGTAAAAACATGTATTACAAAGAAAATAGACATGTCGATTAAGACTCTATTATAAATACTTAAAATTTTAATAACCAAATTTAGATAAAAACATGTATAACTTGTATTAAGTTAAATTGTGCACCCTACTTAGTTGTTATTTGTTGTTATCTTTTTGAAATAGAATCTTAGTGTTTTTTATTGTTATTTGTTGTTATCTTTTTGAAATAGAATCTTAGTGTTTTTTATCCTACATTACTTTTAACATGAAATGAAATAAATACCAACTTAACAATAATTGTTTGAAGTGGCATAATTATTGTCTCAATTGACATAAAAAAAAATCTCAAATTATCTTTAACTCAACTCTACAAAACTAAACTAAAACTAAACTAAAACTGAGTAAAGTTAAAACTGCCCCCACTTATAAACACATATATCCGATATAGGCCGATGTAAATCTCTTAACACTTTTTTAATAGCAATCAAAATAAAAACCTACAGAACACATCTAACTAAAAGAGGGTAGGGAATTTTTTTTCTTCTCTATTAGTAATGTTGAGACTATACAAATCAAATTACACAAGATACATATTATCAATTTCAAACATCTGCATCTATACATTTAAATAAACTCTAATAATAAAGCTCTCCATTTTCAAAAACTCTCTACTCCTTTTAAGAAATGAAAGAATCCCAACTCATCTTCTCCTTTTAAGAAATGAAAAGTAAAACCATAAATACATTAAAGTGAACACAGTTTCTGTTGATAATAATCATTTAGTGTGGACGAGTTAAAACCTCAATTGAACCACCCACTACAATTCAAAAAACTCAATGATCTGAAATTGGACTTGTTGAAGACATAACTATTGTTTAGTCTATGATTAAAGTCAAACCATCTTCCATTCTTTTTGGTGGGGCACAAGCACAACAGAATAAAATGAGGCATGGTGATCAATCTTCAAAGCCTAAATTATTTCTTTTTCTTAAAGTCTAAATCATTTTCTTTATTCTTTTTTTTTTTTGTGTTAATATAAGCTTTTAATAATAAGAATTGTCAAACATGCAGTGTGCTGTTTAATGTTACGTATGATCAAAATGTTTTACTTGCTCTGTATTAGAAGGGAGAAAGAACAATAGTACTACTACCTATACAAATCACAACTCACAAGATATAGCTTTTGTTAAATAAAAAATAAATACTTAAAATAAAACTTCTAAAATACAGACAGAAACCTACAACCGACTTTAACCTGCGTCTGCGGAGCAAGTAGCATTCATCATCAGAGACAGGTTGCATCGTCATGCTCCTTGCTTTACATTGTTTATACTTTAATTCACAACAGATGTCATAACATAAAAATAGATTTTCTTGCAAATAATCTCGTCACTGCAGACTTACCACGTGATTTTTCGCAAGTAAATATAAGTCGAGAAACACAAATGGAAACATCAGACTCTCCACAAGATGTTCTGCGAATAAAATATAAGTTGAGCAGCACAAATGGAAACATCAGATGATGTTCTGTGAGGAAATATAAGTTAAACAACACAAATGGAAACAGTGATTCCAAGAAAATGGTGTACCTGAAATTCATCAGGCTCAAGGAAACTGTATGGAGAAACCGGTGTCAGTTCTGGTGAAATTCATAGGGCCAAAGTCATCGAAATCAGAATCAGAACCCATGTCATTGTAATCCTGCCACCCACCAATAGAATCCTCATCTTCTGTATTTCTAGTCAGAGGAACTCGCAAATCAGAAATGGGCACAGGAAGAGGTTCTTCGTTAAAGTACTTGTCACGGAGTAGCTCCATTGTTGTAGCCCTCCTAGCCGGATCATAACAAACCAGGTTTTTGACAAGAGATACTTCATCGGCTGAGCAGTTGGGCAGGCAGGCTTCAACACCAGGAGGGTTTTCTACCTTGCTAAAAGAGATTATTCTGTAATCAGGAAGTTCTGAGCAGCCAGGCCAAGCTCTCTCATCAAGGTTGCCTAAAACATTAATAATTTTGCTGAGCTGGTCAATATCAGCCGTTCCAGGAAACAAGGGTTTCAGAGTCAAAAGCTCCGCAAAAATACAGCCAAGTGACCAGAGATCAATTTCTAGACCATAGTTTGTGGATCCGTAAAGCAACTCGGGAGCCCGGAACCAACGAGTTCCAACACATGATGTGAAACCACCATCTTCTTTATCTTCCTGCTCCATTGTTTCAAAACTAAAAGAAGTTCTCAAAGGATCATTATCCATATCACTTGTTGTGCACGTTGCAAGACAAGAAGTATTTCCATCTGGAATGTTTGTATCCTTTTCAATGTCATCCACAGGTCTCTTTGTTTTCAGCTCATCTAAAACACTAAAATACTCATTATGACTGCTTCCCTGCTCTTGATTTCCACTTCCAAATTGACTTAAGTTGTTGGTGAGAGGAAAAGCTTCAGGATGATGAAGTGAACTTTCATGATTAAAACCATCATGCTCGCACGGTGGAGGATTCCCTTCAAAAGCATCAAATCCAGGTTCGGTGAGTATCCTTGCCTGAGAAAATTATTCAGAAACATTTCATTCCAGACAAAAACCAAATGCACACTCCTTTGGATGCAATTGCAAAATATTCATTCAACTTAAAGTCAAACACTACATTCTGAATTTATAGCCTAATATCATAATAAATAAGCTCCATGTCCTATATTTTATAGCCTAAAATCATAATAAATAAGCTCCATGTCCTAGATAACCCCCTAATAATCATAGTAAAAATAAAAGTCCGCAAACTATATATTACTACCTCTAGTTTCTAATAGAAGAAAAAATCACAAAAAACACCAAGACCAAGTAGCTCATTTAATTAATACTATTATAAAGTTGAAATCTATGCCAATAAGCGGGTCTTTAGTAAAATCTATACTATTTATCGCGCAATGGCAGTGTGGAGTAAGTAGAATTTTGGTGCCCTGCCTTTATGCATACAAGGGCGGCTAGGCTCGAGCTGAAATCGCATCATCATGCGCACTACATGGCCACACCACAAACCAAGTTTAGTATGGAATTTAATGGAAGATGAGTAATAATTTTTTAAAATCAACCCAATCGACATATCATAATTTATGTCTTAAGGCAATTCAATTGGTAGTTGGTAGTTGTGCAGTGACATCCGACTATCGGGGCGCACGTTGGAAACTGCAGCATCTCACTTACCCAACTTGAATGGGTGAAATTCTGGCAATTAGTCTAATAGACAAAAAAAAAAAACCTCACAACTAAAACTCTCTTAGAAAGTAAAGATATATGATTCTAACATAATGTGGCTTTAGATTGATAGTTGAATTAGGTTAGAAAACCAAATGAAATTCGGATGATTAGGGTAAATAGGTTTACCTGTCCAAAATCAGCCAATTTGAGAACACCACTATCCGAAATCAAGAGATTAGAAGGCTTCAAATCACGATGAACGATCATATTCCGGTGACAGGCATCAAGACCAGAAAGAATCTGAATCATCCACCGTTTCATCTCACCAACAGGAAGTGAAACACCTTCCTTGGCAGCATTGGAAATAACCGTAGCCAAATCGGTGGTGAGGTACTCGAGAACGAGAACCGCGTCTTCATCTTCGCGCCAGAAGTACTCGTGCATGACGATGACGTTCGGAGAGCATTGGAGCATCTGCAACGCTTCGATTTCGCGGAAAGCGGACTGGTAGTCGTGGATTTCCTTGAGAGCGACTGTTAGGTCGTCGGAGAGACGACGGGCGCGGTAGACGTCGGCGTAGGCGCCGGAGCCGATCCGTTCCATGACTTTGTAGTTGGCGATGATCTCCGATCGGGTATGGATGCTCCAACTCTTGTATGGACGCTCCGTCCCCATCTTCGTCTCACGCCCGTCACAAACAATGGATTCTGCACATTTATTTACTTCAATTTTATTTCTTTTGTTTTACCATATAGTTTTTTTTTTTTTTTCTTGAGAAATATGTACTACTATTATGTTCTAGTTTTTAGATTTTTGTATATTCAAATTTTATTCTGTGTATGAGTCGGTTTAGGATGATTGTACTATTAGAACTCTGAGATATAATTTTTAAGTGGATGAATTTTTTAACCCTTAGAATACATAAAAATATAAAAAATATAAAATACTTTTAATCTTTTAATAAATTAAATTTATATTTAAATAAATAAATAAAAATAAATATATAAATAAGATTATAATTAAAATGAAATACCTTATCTCCCTTCAAAATTCTTCTAAATCAGTGGAAGTAAAAAATAGTTAAGCTCTAAATAGGTGGAAGTAAAAAATTGTTAATAAGGAATAATGGTCTCCTCCCCTCTTAAAATTTAAATTAAGCACATAAATTATTAAATGAGTGGAAGTAAAAAATAGTTAAGCTCTAAATAGGTGGAAGTAAAAAATTGTTAATAAGGAATAATGGTCTCCTCCCCTCTTAAAATTTAAATTAAGCACATAAATTATTAAATGTTCTCTCCCTCTTCTCTATTTATCTCCAATCAAATATATTCTAAGTGAAATAATAATTATACCTGTATAAACATCATTTTTTCTTTTTTAAATTTAAATTTGAATATATGTTTAATACTCAATATCCACGTTGATAAAAAAAAATTAAACTTCTAACTTGTTTCGGGTTTGGATATAATAGATAAAAGTAGTCTTTTTTTTTTCTTTTTAATGTTAATTTAAAATATAAACTAATAAGATATTGTGCATTCGCACTGAAAAAATATATTTAATATAATATAAAATATATTTAAATATATAAATAAATTTAAAGTTCACTAATTAATTGTAAAATAAACAATGATTATATAGTATTAAGTAACAATAGAAAAAGAAAAAAAAATATTTGTTGTTGAGAAAAATAAGTGTGAGTAGTGTAAAGAAGTCTCACATTTGTTAGAAATGTGAATATTTAAATATTTATAAGTGGAAGAACACACACACGTATCAGTGTATCACCTTAATGTTTTTGGTGAGTATGTGGTGTGTCTTTCACAAAGATGCTCTTAAAAAAAAGTCTCAAAGTGAAAAATGTTACCTCGTGTTGATCCCTCGAATTAGCCCCAGTAATGCTATCAAAGCTTGGTTCTGATCCACAAACACTTAGTGTGCAACATGAATTCTGTCTCCAATGGAAGAATCCATGCAAACCTACACATCATTGATGTGAATGGTGCAAACAAATGAAAGTGTTATGTTGGCTATCAAGATGTTCTTGAAATGATCAAGAACATAGTGAATCCTCTTGCCATAGGTGCAACAGACGCATAACGAGCAACACATAAGGAAGAGGAGAAGAAAGATTTCAAGGCGCAGTTTTTGATCCACCAATGTGTGGATGGTGACAACTTTAAGAAAGTTGGTGATCCATTGAATGGAAGAAAAGAAGACGATCAATGATTTTACAACAAGAATCATTCGACTAGTGAATTAAGTGAAGGCATGTGGAGAAACAGTCACATAGTGTATGTTGTCACGAAAATCTTGTGTTCTTTAATGCCAATATTTGACAACGTGATTGTAGCAATTGAGGAATCGAAGGATCTTGTGGTGATGAGCAAAGAGGATAAATAAAGCTCTCTTAAGGCTCATGAGCAAATAATGTATGAGAGAAATAGTGATAAGCCAAATGCGGAAATTGCTTTGCAAGCTCGCTTCAACGAGAAAAACAAGAGATTGAAAAGAAAGTGACTCGTGAAGAGTAAAGGAAATTTTTAGAATTTTGGTGGAAGAAAGTCCCAAAGCTCCAAGAATTTGACTTGTTAAAGGGGTGAGAGCAGCTGCAACAAAAATGGTGGTCAAGGCAACTTTAGAAGTGAAAGGAAGTGGTTTGATAAAATTAAGGAGAAATGATTTAAGTGTCAAAGGTTTGGTCATTTTGGAAAGAAGGGCAATGCAAACAAGAAGGAACCTCAAGGAGATGAAGCCAAGGTTGCAAGACAAGATTTAGATGAGGAGAATAAACTCTTGGTCATAATCACTAAAGTGGAATGCAACAACAACATGTTGTGGGACATCAACAACAACAGTTTAGAGAATGCTGCAGAAGCATGCTGTAATCGGTTATGTAAAAGCTGTAACTGGTTACAAGCAGAAGAAAATGTCATTATAAGTACGAAAGGTTTAGTTCAATGCAATGAGGAATGGTATTTGGACTCGGGGTTTTCTACTCATGTGACGGGGAGGAAATATTTGTTTGTTAAAATCAATCGTGCCATGAAGAACAAAATGAAGTTTGTGGATGACACCACTCTAACGGTTGATGAGATCAGTGATATTTTAATCATGAGAAGATGGATATTCCTTGATCGAAGATGTATTGTACATTCTAGAATTCAAATGTACCTACTAGGTATTGGCCAATTGCTTGAAAAGGGTTACAAGATTTACATGGAAAATAAGGGACTTCACGTTATGGATGCGAACAGGGTGTTGGTCCTTAAAGTCCCTATGGCTGCTAATAGAACCTTCAAGGTTGAATTGAAGGTTATGGAGAATAAATGTCTTGCTACAGTGACAAGTCGAGATGAGTGGATATGGTATTATCGTCTTGGGGACTCAATTTTTGAGACCTTAAAGACTTGCAAAAGAATGAAATGGTAACAGGGTTGCTATTGATCAATATACTGCCTGAAATTTGTGAAGAATGTGTGCAAGAGAAGCAACATAAGGGTAAATTCAGTAAGGATGCAGGTTGCAGAACCAAGAATCATCTTGAGGTGGTGTATTTGGCTACGTGTGGACCAATGCAAATAGATTCTATTGGTGGCAATAAATATTTTATCACATTCATCGACGATCATATTAGAAAACTATGGGCGTTCCTAATCACGAGAAAGAATGAGGTATTTAAAGTGTTTAAGAAGTTCAAGTTCATGGTTGAGCAACAATGCGGTCACAAACTCAAAGTGCTTAAAACATATAGTGGAGGCAAATATATGTCTCAAAAGACTTTATGAAATTTTATGGTCAATAAGAGATTGTACATGAGGTTGTACCACCTTATACACTGCAGCAAAATAGTGTTTTTGAAAGGGAGAATCAATTGATCATGAACATGGTAAGAAGCATGTTAAAGGGAAAAAACATGTTAAAAGAGTTATGGGGAGAAACGGTATCAACAACCGCTTATTTGTTGAAACAGTATAACAAAGAAGCTTGAGAAGGTAACACTAGAGGAAGCATTGTCGGAATAGGTGTCGAACAAAGAAGCTTGAGAAGGTAACATCGAAGGAAGCATTGTCAGGATTCCAACCGAATTTGAACCATTTGAGTGTTTTTGGTTCCGTACCGTATCAACATGTTCCAGGAAGCTTAGAAGGAAGCTGGATGATATGGGAGAAATCATGATACTTATAAGGTATCACTCCACTGGTGGTTACTAGTTGTTTGATGCAGCAAACTGAAGAGTTGTGATCAGCCGAGATGTCATTTTTGACGAGATAAAGTAATTGCAGCAGCCTGTAACCGGTTACGTAAAAGTTATAACTTGAAAATTCAGATTCTACAGAATTGGGAAGTGCAGAAACACTCATCATTGAAGCACTAATTGAAGAGAATGTGAGAAGATTGATAAGGAAAAAATGTAACACCCCATTCTAACCCACCGGATAATTAGGAAAAACAACAATCAGAGTGCACAAAAATAAGTATCATGACAATCATAAGGAACTGGCATGACCGTGGTGGTCATGACGACCGTCATGGATGTCACGACCGTGACGGTCATGACGAGCGTCATCGAGTGGTGACGACCGTCACACTCACAAATTCTGGGACGCATAAGAGGTGTCACATTTTCACCTTAACAAATAACATACACCTACAACAAAACATTTAATAACATACATAGCACAGATCTGGATGAACAAATAACGACAACTTGTTTAACATCTTAATTATGCATCCAACCAACATTTGGAACTGTTCGAAACAACCAATTTATTTGAGAAGTACTTAATATAATTCAACAACAAGAAATTCAATTAAAACAATAACATCAATCGTTCATCCCCCCAAGAGTGCTACGTATCAGAGCGACCAACGACACCTTAAACAGAAAACGACACTTTATTCCGAGTTACCTGCAAATTACCACCAACGGAGGTGACATACAACGTAGAGGGTGAGATATCAAAATTATAACATAAGGCATGATAAAAGTCATGTCAGGATTATATCACAGCAATTAAGATTCTCGCAGTTTTCCAAATAATATCGACAACCAATATCAGGAACTTATCGTTCATATTCACAACAATTAACAAGCAATTCAGCAACCCATCTTAACTTACAACCACATAACGACACGACACTATGCGACTCAACTATGCATATGCATGTGGTACCAATTTGGAGCAGCACTCCACAACCAACATAATTGCCATTATAGGCCGTCAATACAGGCACAACCAACGCCAATACAGGCCAACCAGGATGATATGTTATGAGATGCAACTATTATGGACTACAACACAACTACGCAACAAGGCATTAAGCCTACAACCAAATTGTCCATAACCGAAGCATCACAATTTCATACGGATCACGTAACCACAACTTTCAACATAATATAATCAAATGAGGACACTATAACAACCCTCTCAACAAATGGGAAATTAGCGCGTGTCGGCGCCGTTTCCCAATATTATTACATAGAACTAATGACATAAAACACTAATTCAGGCACAGACAAACATTAACCCTTAATATTTCTCAACCTACGAGAACTAACCCCATGATTCAATTCCCTTCATGAAATTGACCATACCCATAGTTATAGAATTGAACCCCACCCTTACCTTTGGATTGAGGACAACTCTAAACTCCCGGTTCCGGTTTGCTCT